AATATTTTGCACTCAAAATATTTTTTTTGTATTTAAAATAAAATAAATAATAAAAAACATAATTAATAAATGTAAATATAAAAATATAAAAATATTAAAATTATGTATAAAATTTATGTTTATGCTTCAATTATTGTGTTTGTGTTTCGTAAGTACATAATTTTCAATATAAATAGTTATTTTCTTATAAATTGCAAAATTTGATATTTTTCTCCATACCTTGTGTATTTTTTATATTTGTTTGAACTAATAAGAACATAAATTATAATAAAATGTATGGTAATAGGAGTATCAAATAATCTTGTTATGATCATACCAATGCTGTAAAAATGAAAATAATAAACATGATAAAATAATCAATTCATTAAAAATAATTATAAATTTATAAATAATAATATATAAAAAAAAATAATTTTATTATAATTTTAATTTCGTAAAAAATAAAAAATAAATAATATAATTATATAAAATATAACTAATAATTCACATATTATCATAAGATATTAAATTATAAAGTGCATGATATTGATTAGGAAGTAGGAGCATACGAACTAAATGTGCATCTTGATTACCTTGATCATAATTGTCCTGTTTTAAAGTGAAATTGATAATAGTTGATTCGCCTGATTTTACTATGACATTTATTGGTTCACTTGGGTAGTATCTAAAATTAGAAAAAATTATATATAAATGAAATGTTATTAAATAAATAATAAATTAACAATTAATCAAAATTAAAGAATAATTTTTAAATAACACTAAACATATTTAATTATATAATATTAATATTATAATAATTAATATTGTATGTAGTGTATATTAATATTGTATATTAATATTAATATTAAATTGTATATAAATGTAAAAATAAATAAATTCTATATTTAAATATATTCACCCCCATGCTTCTGCATGAATATAATAAGTTCCAGGTAATAATAAACGCCAATATTCTCCATGATTTGTACTTGAAACATTATGGTTTATTCCATGTACAATAATAGTTGCTCCTTCTATTGGTTGACCATTTATATCTCTTACAAGACCTATTATTTTAAAAAACCAAAAACTAATTTATGATATATATCATAATATATATCACAAATTAATATATATCATTGATTAAAAATTATATTATTTAATGAATATCTAAAAACCTTTTATTCCAATATGAGCTTGTTCAAAATATGTTATAAGAGATTCCTTATTTAATTTCCAATATTCTGGCATTTCTGAAGCATTTGGATATTTACAACAACTAAGTTCAAATGTTATTTCAAATGCATTAGAACGAGCATAATTGAAGTCTTGCATTCCTCCAATAACTTCATACCTAAAACAGATAAAAATATTTTCTTTCCACAAACAAAAATTATATTTTTTAAAAAAGAATTTAAGGTAAGCTTACCAATATGCTCCATTGATAACACCACCTTGAAAGACATCTGATTCACATGCGCGACCTGTACGCATTTGTGGATGATTATCTGCATATGTGTGTGCTAAATATTTGAATAACTCATCATCTGGACTTTTACTTTCAGTACAGCAACTAGTTAAACTACTATATTATATAAATTTTAAATTAATAAATAAAATTTTATAATTTTCAAGATTAAAAATATAAATATTATATCATATTACCCAGAATCATAAGGATAGCTTGCTACAACAGCACCTCCATGAAGATTTCCTGATAATACAAATGGTTCTGTAGCAATCCAAGTCATCATAGCTACTGTTTCATTTTGACGTCCATCTAATATATTACCACCCTTTTGAAGATGATTAGTCCTTCTATCAAATTGATCTGGAAAATTTCTATTTAAATCAACATGATTTGCATTTTCACGACCTGAAAAGTCTTTTTTGGATTCACATTTTCCTTCCTAAATATGTAAAGAATATTAAATCAGAATTTATATAAATTATATAAATTAACTTATATATTATAAAGATAAAAAATAATAAAATACAAATTTTACCTCTGATTTTTCAAATCCATCAGGATTCATTGATGGCATAAGATATATATCAGTATTATTGATCAATTTTGTAATTCTTTCATCCTTTCCATAATTATGTAAAAGATATTGGGCAAGATATACTAATAATTCTCTACCAACAGCTTCATCACCATGCATGTTAGCAACATATTTTACCATTGGTTCACATAATTTTCGTTCCTTAACATTCTCGGAAATTTCAAGAACTAACAAATTTCTACCTTCTACTGATTTTCCTATGGAGAATACTTTTGCCAAATTTGGATATTTTTGAACTAATGAATTAAATAACTGTTGAAGTTCTTCATAATGTGTATAATGTGGAATGATAAAATTTTCTTCTAATTTGTTTTCAGAATTAATCGCAAAACCATAAATAATTCCAACAAATAATATCATAAACGGCACGGTATATATAATATTAATGTGTGCCATATTTAGATATTTTTTTTATGTAAAAATATAAAAAACTTTTTATTTTCAATGAAACATTCTACATAAAACAATATATCTATACAATATCAATATAAGTATATACTGATGACTGATGACTGATGATTAATGACTGATGACTGATGACGTCCACAAGTGTAAGCGTGGGTAGAAAAGGATAGAAAAATTACTATGAATAATATATAGTATAAATTATACAAGTACTAAAAGCACGTTTGAAAAGTTGGCAACTAAACAGTAAAGAATTATTTTACTCGTTGCTTAACTTCACAAGATTATATGATCTTATTTAAAGATTATAGTCTACTGATCATCTCTTATGATTGTATTCGATCTATTAATTATTATCTATATAAAAAATAATTATTCAAACTCATTTTTTTTTATTATCCACATGTATAATAATATATATTTATTTTAAATTTTTAAATTGAAATATAATTTGAATTTAGCATGTTATTCTTTAATTCAGTTAAAATAAAAATCATATATATGTAATCAGTAATAATTCGAAAAATTCCTAAAAATGAAAAAATATCTATCTATAATTTTTAACTATCCAAATCTGAAAATCATCATTTTTAAACATTAATATGTTAGAATTTATAAAAATATTTTTAAAAATATAAAAATGTTTCAATTTAATCAAAAAATTTTACATTAATATTAAAAGAACATTTATGCATAATTAATTATAATCTATTCTAAAATTGATTCTAAACTATTATATATATAAGTTCTATAATATATTATAACAAAAATATATATATATATATATATATATATATTACGTTTTCTTTTAAAATATAGCATTGTTTAAATTTTAAAAGACATATTTTATTTAAATTGTTTTAAAAAATTATTAAAGAAATATTATAATGCTTGCAAACATAAAAAACATAAAAAACCTATAATATTTTCAATGTAATCATATAAATATTTATATGAGTTTAATGAATAATATTGTATAAATATGTCCGATATCAAAGAAGAAAAACAGTAAGTAATAGAAATAGTAATAATAAAATTGAATATAAAAAAAAATGAACAAATTATTAACCATCATAATAAATTTCAGATATGGTTTAATTTTATCTAAAAAACAACGTATTACTCCAAAGGTTAACAATATATTTGGTGATAGTAATGATTCAGATGAGGAAGATGGTACAGATTGGGTTAAAAAAGCTCTTCAAGCAGAAGGAGAAAAAAATAAAATAAAAAAACAAATAAAATTAAATATGCAAAAAGCATTGAAAGAAAACCCAACAATATTCCAATACGATGAAGTATATGATGATATAGAAAGAAAAAAAGATCAATCTAAAACTGCAAAAGATGAAAAAAAGAAACCAAAATATATTCAAAATCTTTTGAAAGCTGCTGAACGAAGAAAAAAAGAACAAGAATATAGAATAGAAAGAATGGTTCAAAAAGAACGAGAAGCAGAGGGAACAATGTATGCAGATAAAGAAAGTTTTGTTACTTCTGCTTATAGAGCAAAATTAGAAGAATTTAAAAGAATGGAAGAAGAAGAAAACAGAATGGATAAATTAGAAGCTATTGCAGATGTTAAAAAACAGCAAGATATGTCAGGATTTTACAGACATTTATATGTGCAGACTATTCAATCTTCAGATAAATCTGAAATCAAAAACGATATAAATAATGATGAAATTGATTTAAATAATGTAACTAAAGAAACAGATATCAGTGCTATAAATAAAGAACAAATTAAAAATAAAGAAATAAAAAAAAATAGACAATATAGACAAAGAAGAATAGAAGAAGAGAGTGACACGGAAATTGAAATTGAAGAAAAAATAGAAAATAAAATAAACATTATTTTACCTGAAAAGCGTAAAAATATTGAAAAAGAAACTGTAGAAATAGAATGTGATGCTAAAAGACAAAAGCAACAAACTGAAAATATCAAACCTGAAGGAAATCTTAATGAAATTAAAATAGAAAATACTTTCAATTTAAAAAATGATGATAAAATATTTGAAAAATCTGAAAATAATGATGAAACTGAAAAAACTATTAGCTTAAAAGCAAAAATAGAAGCAGAAAAAAAAGAACGATCTAAAATTTGGGAAAAGAGAACAATTGGTCCTGAATTTGAAGCAGCATTACAAAGATATTATTCTAGGAAATCTATGAGATTATCAATTGCATAATTTAATGTATTTATAAAATATGTAAAAATAAAAAGTTAATATTTAAAAGTAAGTAAAAAACATTTAGCAGTATATTAGGAATTTACATAATTCTGATAAAAAACACATTTATAATATAAAATATAGGATTTTTCTTTTTAATATAATATGTATGTATGTGATAAAATAGTTAATTAAAATATTGTATAGAAATTGTATTGTAATGATACATTGTAATCTGAAAAAATGTCTGTTATCAATATTATAATATATAAATTTTTATACACAAAAACAAATAATGGCACATATGGTTATAATACATTATTTAACTTCTATAATGCTAATGCACAATAATAAAATCATATACATATATTCTTCCTTATTTTCAAAATATTCTATGTATTGCATATAATTTTTTTATTTAAAAAGTATTATTTTATGCAAGTATAAAAATTTGTTGAAATACGATATTAATGGTTTTATAAATAAATAATTAAAAATATTTCATTTTTAGCAAATCATAAATTGCATGATTTAAATATTTCATTATTAAATGAATAAATAAATTATATGATTTAATAAGATGAAATAAGCTGTGGTTCCATATGTCCACTATCACCTAAACTTCTTAATGTTACCCTTCCATTAGGACGAATAGATATCCATGTAATACTTCCATGATTTAAACTTAAACGTAACCAACCTTCAGGTGGAAATTGCAATGCTCTAAAACAAATAAAATATATAAATTTTATATATTAATATATAAATTTTTAATTCTATTTTTATTTTTATTTAATATATTACCGACAAACAAAATATCTAATAACATTTGCATGGCAAACAAGAATAACATATGAATCTTTTTCCTGACTAGGTTCTGGACGATGAAAATACTTTCTAAATGCAGCTTCTATTCTAGGTCCATCTTCATAAACCTGAAATACATTTAAAAAAAAGTAATATTATAATAGAATATTAAAGAAAAAAATGATTTAACGAGAACTAAATTCTAAAATTTTTCATTTTTTATTACATAATATAATACACAAAAATATATAATCAAAAAATAAAAATTTTAATAATAATTATATATATAATATTATATACTTACAACTATTTCAGAATTCCAAACATTAATTGGAGGATCAGGTGCAATTGGCATACCTTCACTAAGTACAGAATCTTCTTTCAGTGTAATATCTTTAAGATATTTTTCTATAATTTTAGCAGTTTCTTTAGCTCGAATTATTGTTGATTGTACAATCAAGGAATATGGTAATCCTAATTCCTGTAATCTCTTTCCTGTTGCCTCTGCTTGTTGCCTACCTTTATATTTTAAAACTTTCATCAAAACTTTCTTAATATATATTTTTTTAATAGATTTATATTTTATTATAAAAATTTAATACATTTAAAATTATAATATATGACTTGATACTAACCAAGAGTTGTAAGTGTTCGATCTGAATCTGTTTTGCCTTTTGTATTATATTGTCCATGACGAATTAAAATTATGTGATGTTTCACATTTGATTTTTTAATTGATCTTTTTTTACGTGATTCTTTATCAGTTTCATCATTTGATTTAGCTATGTTTGCTAACCATTCTGGATGTCGTCTATAAATATAACAAATTGAATTTTCAAATAAAAACAGAAAATATAAAATTCATAGAATTTTACAGAAACTAATATTAAGCAAATAGAATTTATAAGTATTTCTAATTTATAATATAATATTTTTATCACACTATTTTTAAAACAAAGCAAAATAAAAATAAAAATGGATTAAATATAATACATACTTATATATTTTATTTATTAAAATATCTTAAATAGGATAATAATAATACATTAGATGAATTTACACTTAAAAATAAAAATTAATATTTTATTTAAGTAAGATAAAAAATATATTTTTTTATATTTATATAAAGTATATATATTTATTAGAAAATTTATTTATTTATTTAATTACAAATTATTTAATTTTATTAAGAAAAACATAAAAAAAGATTTTAATTATATAATAATTGATTTATAAAATCAATAATATTTTCATAAATAACTATCATAGTAATAATGAATATAACCTATCCCAATTATGATCCCATCTGCCCCAAGATGAAGGTGTTATCCAAGAATGTTGTTTTTGTGATGTTTGAACATGATCATTATCATTTGGATAAAAAAGCATTGCACCACCTATTACACCACACCCAGCAATCCATTTTTTTAAATTTAAACGTATAGGCATTATTATAAATTTCCACGATCAAAGTTTTTAATCATTTAAATCAATGCTGCTCATGTATAGAATGTCTTTGAATTTACAATTTTTTTTTTGCTTTTTTAAATAATAATAATAAAAATAACAGGTATATCCTAATAAAAAAAAATATGTAAAACACTATTTTAATATGAACGATAAGATAAAAAAAAAATAAAATTAGAAAATTCCCTCAAATTTTAAATTTATTTAACAATCATTATTTCTATAGTCTGTTCAATGAATTGAATCAAAGGAAGTAAACAAAACCATATGATTAAAATCTAAAAGAAACAAGATTGATTTACAATTTTAAGATATTTTATTTTTTTGTATCAATTTATTAGTACGATTAATATAAATAAACTTGATTTAATAATTGTTTATTCTTTTGAATAATAAGCTTTTATAAAATTGTTATAAAATATTAAATACAATTTTTTAATTTTTTTTTTTTCATACGAAATTAGTTTTTTCAAAACTATGAGAAAAATAATATTTTTTAATAATCGATTTTATTTTGTAGCTTGCAAATTGTAGAGATAAAAAAAACAATTGAAATATTTTTTTTTTGAGATGTTTCTAAATATTGTTCTTTTTATATTTAAAATGTATTTACATTTGTTATGTTTATAAAATTTTTACAAAAATGATACAGTTTCATGAATGAAATAAAACACAAATTATAATTTTGTAAAACTTGTATACAAAAATGAAATATAGATAACATAAATGTTTTTTATTAAATAAAATGATATGCTATTTTAAATTTAATTATAAAAATAACTGTGGTTTCATATGTCCTGTATCACCAAAAGCCCATAATTTTACAATACCATCAGGATAAATAGTAATCCATGTAATACTAGCATGATTCAAACTTAAACGCAACCAACTTTGAGGTGGAAATTGTAATGCTCTGAAATGAATTAAAGAAAAATAATATTAACTTATATTAATCAATAACATATACAAAATAGTTTACCTGCATACAAAATATCTAATAATATTTGCATGACAAACAAGAATTGTATAAGAGTCCTTTTCTTGAGCAAAGTCTGCACGATGAAAATATTTTCTAAATGCAGCTTCTATTCTAGGTCCATCTCTATAAAACTGAAATATATTAATACTTTTATGCAATATTATTTTAATAATATTTTTAAAAATAATATTTTTAGTTTATATACTTACAATTTTTTAGTTTATATACTTACATTTACTTCAGGTTTCCAATTAGATGATGGTGGATCAGGTTGAATTGGTGCACCTTCATTAAGAAGCAAATCACATTTTATTGGTACATTCTTAAGATCTTTTCCTATAATTTTAGCAGTTTCTTGTGCTCTTGTCATTGTTGAATGTACAAGTAAAGTATATGGAAAACCTAATTCTTGTAATCTTTTTCCTGTTGCCTCAGCTTGTTGTCTACCTTTATAAAATTTTAAAAATTTTATTAAATATATATTGTTGTTAGAGTAATATTATTATAATAATAATATATATTTCATATATAAAAAAGAAATTTAAATACTAATTTTGTTCAGTATAAAAAATAATTTAAGATTCAACTAAATTTTACTTTAAATAAAATAATTTTATATAAAAACTTGATATTATATCATAAATCATTATTTTATATAACTTTCACATTTATTATTTAATATTACTTACATTATCATGTATATATATATACATATACATATATATATACACTTATATATGAACTTGATACATGTATCAAATTATTTTAAAAATTACTAATATAAATTTAACATGCATGAATAAATACCAACCAAGATCCGTAAGTATCCCATCTGTATCTGTTTTAGCTTCTATATTATATTGTCCATGACGAATTAAAATTATATGACGTATAGCTTTAGCTGTTTTATTTATTAATTGTTTATTATATAAATTTTGATTAGATTCATTATCTATTTTCATTGGTTTTACTAAACTTTTTGGATCTCGCCTGAAGATATAACAATAAAACAAATATAAAAATTAATTAAAAATATGTATATATATATACTATAATTATATATATAACTAACTATATATATAACTATATACTATAATTAATAAAATAATTATATAAAAGAATATGAAAAAAAATGTATTAAAAATATTTGATATAATTATTATATAAAAACATTTCTAAATGAATATTTTATATGTATCATTAAATATATTTTATAAATACATTTTATACATTGGTATATATTTGTTACATAAATAATAATATGAATATAACACTAATATTCAATAATATAGGAAACAATAAATGTTTAACATATATATTTAATAATAAAATATCAACAAAATAATAATAATATTAAGATTTTTAAACGCAATAAAAAATGATATTTTATTTAATAATCAAATTATTTAAATATATTATTTTTAGTAATGAGAAAAGAAAAAGAATATGCAAAAGAATAATATATATAATAATGAAAGAGATATAAAATATAATTTTAATTTACATATTACATATTATATTATGAAATTAGAAATATTTATACTAATAACAATAATAACAATACTAAAGAATACACATATATATATAGGTATATATATATATATATATACCTATCCCAATTATGATCCCAACTAGAAGCTGCTATTCCAAATTTATGTGTGTGTAAAAATTGACTATTATTATCATTATCATTTGGATAAAAAAACATAGCACCACCTAATGCACCAAATCCTACAATCCATTTTCTAAAATTTGAACGTATAGACATTGGTACAATAAAATATCACAATTAAATCTTCTAAGTGATTTGAATCAACTTTATTTGAAACATAACCTACATATTTAAGTATCTTAGATACGTGGTATTAAATGTGGCAACACTGTTTTAGTAATAGAATGAGTAGTATTACTTAAAATAAGCTTTTAAATAGCTGTTATAAATAGACAAAATATAATTATTTTTTTAAAAAAATTAATTTAAATATACTATACTTAATATATTTTTAATAATCATACATAAATAATATATAAGTAAAAAATAAGAAATAGAAAATTAATCTTTTAAAAATATTCATAATTCAAAAACATATAGTTAATATAACAAATTTTATTTTTATATCATATTAATAATAAAAAATTTATTTTAATTTACATACAATATATTTCAGATTTTATATCTAATAATTTTAATTACTTATTATTAAAAATTTATTTATGTTTAATATATGATTTTAAGATAAAATTTCATTATTTTATTAAATTTTATTAAATACTATTTTTAGTTTTGTGCCTATAATATTTATAATTTTTATTGACAGGAATCCATTAAAAGATTACCATCTTTATCTTTAAGACGTATTCTACCATTTGAATAACGAGTTTCCTGTGTACCATCAAGATAAATTAGTTTAATAGTGCCATCAGGATATTCTCGTCTCTAAAAATCACATAAAAAAATATTTATATAAATATTTATATAGATATACATCTTTTAATAAATTTTAAAATTTTTATTTTTAAAAAATAATATCTATCTTTTTACCTTATGAGTATTAGTATGTATTTCACGTTGTCCATTTGGTAAAGTAAGAATTTTTTCACCATTAGTAAGAATTTGAATTAATGTTCCATCTGGCAATGTCCATTTTTCAATACCATCTGACTCTAGGATTCGCACTGAACCATCTGGAAATGAGACTTCTACTGTACCATTCTGCGATCGTCTTTCTATTTGACCACTATATAATAACAAAAATAATATTTATTGTATAAAACTTTATATGAAATTTATAATTAAATAATAAAATTAAAAAATAACTTACTCAGAGAATTCTAAAATCTCTAAACCATCTGGCATTGTTGTGTGCCATGTACATGTTGATGCATAAAAATATTTTATTTTTCCATCTTTATTAGTTTCACGCATATCTCCATTATAATATATTAATTTAGTTATACCTTGATCAGGAAATATTTTTTTAATATTTCCATTTGGAAATCGATATTCAATAGAACCATCAAAATATTCAATTTGTGTCACATCTTGTTTAGTATCTTGTTTAGTCTTGTTTGAAGATGTAGTTGTTACATATGTATTAGATTTATCTGATGATGCCAAACTTTTTTCATAATTTTCATTATATGTTTTCATAGGTGGTATAAAAGATGTGTGATCATTCTGCATATGTAATTGAATATTTTTGATTTGATTATCTACATTGATTTCTATTTGATTATTATGGTTTAAGAATATATCACATTCTTCATATGATTTTTTAGTTGTTTTATTATCTAATTTCCTAAATTTATTGCTTAAATCTGATTCAGATTTATTTAAATTTTCAGGAATATTAAATTGCTCTTGAATTTCTATTAAATCTGATGTTGCTTCTTTGATTAAATTTTCATATAAATTTCGTTTTTTAGCAACATTTGTTATAGTTGTTTGATTTTCTGATTTATTAATTATATTTTTATTACGATTATAATTATGCCCTTTTCCTTTTTCTACATTCTGATCATTACCTATTGTTTTTATCACCAGTTTTTGATCAGATTGTAATAAAGCATCATTAATTTTTTGAGATTCTTTAAATTGCACATCAAGCTGTTTATTAATTTGATGAATTACTCTTGTATTTGCAGATATCCCAAATTTTCCTTTATTTCTATCATTTTTTTTAAATTTTGTAATCTTTCTATTTCTTGTTTTAATTTTGAATTTTCTCTTTTTAATATTCTCATTTGGCATTTATATCTAGATTCTGCCGCATTCCATCTACTTTCTTTTATTTGCATCTCTTCTGTTAATTTTATTATTTCTTGTTTTAAATTTTGAATTTCCTGTCTTTCTAATTTACTTTGTTGAGCTTTTTCTTGCGAATCTCGCATTCTATTTTCTAATGCCGCTTTCTGACGTGCTAATTTTTTTTTTCTTCTTGTAAGTGTTCTTCTACTTGTTTTTTATTTTGTTCAAAATTTTTTTCTTTTTCTGCATATTCTTTGCGTAGATTCTTATAATCTTCATGTAATTTTTTACGTTGCATAGATAATGCTGTATTTTCTTTACGAAATATACTAATTCTTGTTCAAGTTCCAATAAACGATTTTTTAAAAGTTCTGATTTAAAAATAGTTCTGTTTGTTTCTTGTAAGTCTTTTACATTTTCTGTGATTTTTTCATTATTACAATTATTTACATATTCATCTATTTCTTTGTTGTCATATATTTTCATATCTTGTTTTAATGTTTTAATATTATAATTATCAGTTTTTTGTGATATGGAATTATTTTGACTGTTTTCATATAAATTACTTGTTTCATCATTAGAAGTCTGACCTTCTGTGTCTGATATCTCTAATTCATCTTTATGATAAACATATTGATGTATATTTGTTTCACAAATAGAATTATTATCTTGTTTTATATCTTCACAATTTTGAGTTTTATAATTTAATTCTTGCATTTTACTTTTCATTGTTACAGAAGGCTGTGACATTTTAAATGGTATTGATATTGTTTCTGTGATAGATGTTTCTAAAATTGAAGAATCACTCCAAATTTTATCATCAAAAAAACATTTTGTTGCTAATGATTCAGTTGATGTACTTGATGTATCTGTTAATCCAATTGTTTTATATTCATTATGTTCAGAAAATCTAACATGAAGACTATCATTTATTTCATTATTTTTTTCAATAACAGGCATATTACAAAAATTCTGTTCATTATATATAGACTGAATTTCATTTCTTAATATATGTCCATCTTCGTTTATTTTTCTTGTATTATTTTCATTGATATGTTGTATATTTTCATATATATTATCATGATTAGTTTTTTGATTCTCAAGAGGCATAAAATCAGAGTGAGTAATATCATCCATATCCTTATTTGATGTGATACATTTAAATATTTGATTAGATGATGTTAAATCCAATTGTTTTTTAGGTACTTTATTTATTGGAATTATTTGTTTTGTTTTTTTTATATTATTTTCTGTTTTATATTCAGCATTTTTCACTTTAAATGGAGTTGATTGTTGTAAAAATGCAGTAACTGTACTAGATGTAGAACAAAAACTAGAATTTTCTGCTTTTTCTTCCAACAATTCAAATATTCGTACTTCTTCCAATTCTTTGTGGGTTCCAGAATGAAAATCAGAACTGTTTAATTCAACTATATTTTTCATTTCATTAATACAATCTTTCAAATGAGAAGTTGAAATATTAGATTCAGATTTACTATGAATTTTCTTCTTTGGCAATGGAATATTTTTTAGAGATAAATGTTTTTGGGCTAAATTTGTACAATGTATATTTTTTGATAATTGTGCATTTTTTGAATGTTGTGTAGTTTTATTAGATTTATTTTCATTTTTGCAGTATTTAAAACCAGATTGTGTCTTATTATTAAAAGAAGCACTACGTCTAATCTTTAAAGTAGAAAGTTGTGACTTTTG